TCAAATGTTGTTCTAGATATATTAAATGTCTAGAATGACATTTTATTCTGAACATGACACTTCTCTACATTTGAAATGTCGTTCTCGACATTTCTGTGTCAATGAGGAAAATTGCATTTATTGCGATTTGACAAGTGTACTTTTGAAAAAAATAGGTTAGGGTTACGTGTCAAAATTTTATTGGCCCAATAAGTTTTTTAATAAAGTGGACATTTTTATATTTATGTGGAATTATAAATTGTTAACAAGGTGTTTTAGTCTAAATTCTTTCAAAATGGATATTTTTGAAATGGCGGACATTTTTGCAAATGGACACAAAAAAATGGACATTTTTGTGAAATTTCCTCAAAAAAAAAAAAAAGGTATTCTTGGATAATAATATAATATATACCTATTGAAGAATGTCCATTTTTTTGAAATTTCCTCAAAAAAAAAAAAAGTATTCTTGGATAATAATATAATATATACCTATTGAAGAATTTAATGGTACAATCTACAAGGACAGTACTGGAAGGGTTGACTTAAAAAGTTTTTTGTCGAAGAATGTGATTATATTTTTGCAACGGCCACTAATGACACAATAGCAACAAAGAAGTGAGTTGCACCATATACCTTGGCTTCATTTTCTAAAATTCAATTTATTTTAAAATTAAATATTTTATGGTATTCATGACTTTTTATTAATTTTTCAATCACATATTTCATCAAATTTCTTTCCATAATCTTCCAAAAAGCTGATTTTCATCGAAACGAAACCAGGACATATATATACATAAGTGGGAGGGAACCTCAAAATTGAAAAAATCGCAATTTTATAGAACTGCATACTTCACTAAGAAGACGAATATTGCCTCACTTACTAGAAATTCTTGACACTTGCACCGATCATGACCCGTCTAAATTTAAACCAAACTAATCAGAATTGAAACACAAACAATGTCATTTTCTAATTGAAACCAAGACTCTTATCCTTGATTTTGTGCAAGTCGAATTGTAATCGAATTGAACCGTGACAAATACACTTTTCGATATTGCAACACGACATTCGCTAGAAATAGATGTATACTAAGTGGAAAGAAACTTAGAAATTGTCGTGTTCCAAATGGAATAATGATTGAGAACAAACAATAAAAGTTTATCGAACTCTTGTTGTGAACTTGTGATTTAGGGTCATCAACTAGTCACATTTCATTGTGAAGTGACCCAACATAGTCTTAGGGGTCGAACCCGAATATGATTGTTTTCAATGTCACCTTGATTGAGCAACTCCAGTTCACGAATGGGAGTGATATACACATCTTTTTTATTGCTACCATGTCTCGTCACCTCATTCATGAGTTGGAGAGCAATATATGAGCAATGATTTCAAGTTGTATTGCACCTACTTTGTGAGGTGACTACATATACAAACAAAGCAACCAAAACGGTCTCACTCTAGATGGTAATAGGAACAAGCAGCCAAAACGATCTCATTCACTCCCTAGACACTAGCTTTTGAAATCTCTACATCTACAAAGGAGGGGCAAAGTTGCTCAATAATTAACAAAATGATGCAATCGGATACTTTGATTTAGTAAACCATGTCGAAATTGAATTTAAAAAATCACAATTTCAGGAGAAACAAGCCTTTGGACTACACTCACGTGCAGGGATCGATTCAGGACCCGACTAATTTTTTTTTTTTAAATCGAACTAATATATATATAAAATTGCACACCATTTTTTTTTTTAACAAATAAAAAACTTTTTTTACCCATAAAAAAATAAAATGGGCTGGGAGGGGACTGAACTTTTATTGCCCCTAAGCCTATGCTCATGTGCTACCACTAGCTTTTAGGTCAAATATTATCGTTGAGCTATCAAAACGGTCTCTTTTTTATTTATTATGGTGGAAATAATTTATTATGACTTCTATGTCGGTATTAGTTTTATTCGTTAAAGTGGTAATGTTTGTGTTTTAGAACACTAAATTAGGGTTTTTTTTTATTACTTTAAAAGTTAGGATAGGGTCCATTATTTGTCTTTTATTAAAATATATAAAAGTTGTCGAGCTTTTCTAATCAATCCATCTCGGTATCCTAAGTAGATAACGAGATTAACCGCTCGTTTGATTCTATTTTTTGTCCAGAATATATTTTGGAATAATATTTTGATAGAGGATGTGTTGTTAACAAATAATAATTTTTTTTTTTTGATTTGCGTGTAATTTTATTTTATTAAAGAATGTGTAGTTGGAAATATGAGATACAAAAATATATTTTGGAAATAATGGGAGCCAAACAAGGGCTAAATTTGTGTTTCTTGTTTATCACTTTCGGCTGCATCATATTGGTATCAAAATCAGCCTATGCTTCCACGCTATCGAGAAGATCATATTTTGTTCTTGAATTTTTTTGAAGGAAGTACAATATGGATAGATCGACTTGTTGACACAAATATATGTGGCATATAATGTAATTCATTATGTACATTTTTATTATCCAATAAAGTTTTAATGTATTTTTATGTATTGAATAATATAGTATTGACCCTACTGTTTCATTATCGACCAAACCACATTTTACTTCAACTACAATTTAACTTTTGTGATTATACTCAACTTTATGAGACCTTAACTCTTCTTTTACATATGCTTTGCTAATCAACATTAATGGATGATTAATTCTATCTAGCTTTCATGACACGTAAACTCGTACTAAATGACATTATTATCAATTTGTATAAACTTGTGCTATAAGTAAACACACAAGAAATTATAGTTTTTATACTCGACTAGAGCATTGACTCAGATGAAGAGGTGTGCATTAGACCATTGATTTAACCGCGAGTCTGGTAATTGAACCAGTGGATCAACTCTTAACAAATATAAATCAAAAATATTTTTTATTATTTAATATCTGTGTGGGTTTTATTAAAAGATATAATTTTAATCACACAGTCGCAACTATCTTATATATATATATATAGTCCTATTGAGTCAATGGAAGAACTAGAAGCGAAAAATGGTTCATAAAAGTTATGTACTTGAGGAGAGAATTTATGCCATTCAAGTTCTGATCATTTTCACTCTTACAAAACAGAAAAGTAATAAGCACCTGAGAAACTATTCTTTTGTACACAAACTCACTGGAAGAAAGTCTCTATCTTCACACTCATCAGAATTTGGACAGAACCAAAACGGCCATCACATTATGATGCAACGACTCCTTTCCCCAGAAGGTTGTGTAGCAGCTTGCTGGTTCCTATTTGGCTCGGAGGGGTTGTATGTGAATTCCGATGTGTCAAGTCCATACTGTTACATAAGAGCAGAAATAAAATGGGAACAGGGAAAAGTCATCAGATGCATAAATATTATTAGCTACTTATCATCTATTGACATTTCATCCACGAACTTGTTAACCGTAGAATCTCTGATAGTTTTTGCAGATTATACGAATATTATATATATTTTGAAACACATAACGATGAAAATAGCTAGCACATAGTGCACCTTGTCCCTCATGCGTGCACTCCAAGCATCATTCCTACTTGGACGCTGATCGATGGTTCCAGCAACAGTGTCACCTGTCGTGGGAACTGCTGCTGTCCTGTTGAGCAATGGCTGCCGGGTTTGTCGCCTTGAACCTATAGACTCATCATCACTATCATAATCGTAATTTGCCGGTCTGTTGACAGCCCTCACAACAAGCGCTAACACAAATACAAGCGCCTGCAATTTCATAAGCCCTAATTGAATGAAAAGACTAGTAGATAGGAAGAAACGAACAGTTGAAGATCAATCTTCGTTCTTGACAGTTGAAGCATTTCAAATCAGGGACATGCAGACTATCCCACCACAATGTATGTGATAATTATTAATGCAAGGACACAGGACACAGTGCATAAGATAACACAATAATTAGATATAGTTGGACAGGAGACACTTGTATGTGATAATTATTAATGCAAGGACTCAGGACACAGTGCATAAGATAACACAATATTTAGATATTGTTGGACAGGAGACACTTGAATGGCCCTGAAGTTGAATTAGTGTGACTGGTTTGATTGCCATAAATTCGATGATGATATTGGATTGAGGATGATTTTCTCGAGAAAGAAATCTTTTGAAAGTGATTGTGAAGTAAATGCTAAGGACATAACGAGTGCAGATAAACATTCTAATGCATAAGTCAGAGACATAAAACAGCAAAAAAAGGGGGTATTACATTATTAGTTCAATTATTGGAATGCTATCCGGACACACGTTTAATATCAAGTTTCAATCAAAGCACATGGGAAATATATTAGCCTGGCAAAACATTAAATCATTATTCTCACTCTGTCGATGAAATCGAAAGGAAAGATATAATCATTTCATTATAGAAGTAAGTGATCACAATAAATCAATGTTGATGACAATATAATGTAAAATATATCCTGGAGCCCTTACCTCCAATATAACAGCACCAAGAGCAACCCATCTGATAATTTTCCAGTGCTTCTCCATAAAGTTATATAACATACCAAAATTTCCAGTTTTGTCAGTTGGAATTGCCTGTAAGATATATTTGTTGTAATCAGATAAAAAACTAATATGTTTGTAATTGAAGGCATGGATCATAAAAACTTGCCTCCTTCCAGCTTTTGTCAAAGAATATAAAAGCAGCACATCCCAGTTCTATCAAGATCAACAAGATCACAAATATTGAATACTTCATTACATTAAGGAACCCAATCATCTTCATGAAGAAGAAGAAAAGACGTATATCAATGAAAATTTTCTCAATGAAGATGTCAAACAATAGCTGCGCAATATGGTTCCTAAAAATGCAATTAGTTAGTTGGAACAGTCAATGTCAGGCCTAAAATAGCATATTTGCTCAATGTGGCTGTTATCAGACTGCATTTACAAGCTTAAGATCGACAGCCTGCTCATTTACCTAGAAAAATCTGAAGAATGACAAAAAGTAAGGCCTCATTGTTCAGAATGAAATCAACCTTTAGCATACTAGGCTAGCAGTTTAATAACCAAATCGCATAAATGTTCCATAACCCCGCCATCGTAATTCCAATAAACTTGCATAGTCGTGAAAAAAATCAATTTTTTGTTTCCTTTTTATCCTTTTACCTTGTTGAGAGACCAAAATTCCTTCCAACATCTACTTACATGAGAATTTTTTAATAGTAAGGATACACAAGTCAGGCAGCAACCATTCCGTAGAGTGGCACTAATGCAACCGCAGCAAGAAATGATGACAAGAACTACACCAATTCCTATAAATAAATATATGAACCTGCACAGAGCAAATGTGATAGTTGACACAATAATCAGTGTGAAAAGAACTTAATTAACAAATGGAAAAATATAACTCCAATGTATTAACAGATTAATATGCCATCAGACTGTGCACAGCACAAATTAACCATAAGACAATGAAAGAGGTACTCTGCATGAAGCAGTCATTGCATCACAGACATCGGATAAATTGATTTTGTTAGTTGATAATATAGAGTGTCCAAAACACCTCTAGAACCCATATTAACTTGGCCTATGCATTGACTTGTACCTAATTTACAACCCATTATCATTCCCAAAGGGTCCTCAGCTTCCATTCAAATTCCAAACAAATTTCCTCTCCTCCCATGTCGGGGCAACCCCAAGCCTAGAAGGGGATACTTCTGACACGGATAGATAATTACAATATAGGAAATGGACCAACCATTGGTCATAAAGTTTTCTTACAACATGTTTATTAGGATTGACACTCCAGAGTTGTATATGCACCATAGTATAACAACCGTTTTTAAATTCTCTATGCCTACTATGTGGATCAATATGGTTATAATTTTCGTTACTTAAAACAATTATTCATCTTCATAATGTGAAAATCATTAATATGGTCCACAGAGAGTGAACTGAAGCATCAAGACTTTATAGGAAGGCAGGGGCATAAGGTCAAGCCACGGGATATTTAGAAGTGGAAGTGAAATTAATAGAGTAGAGTTTTGTTTCTTACACTTACCTAATTGACAAGCACAACACTGGAGACAAATCAAGCAACAACACTTCATGTTCTAAAATCCTAAGAAGTCACACTATTAAGAGGTCATGTTTGACGTTCAGGATGTCACTCAAGAATATTTCACTTAAGGTATCAAATATATCCTACAAGGAAAAAGGAGCCAAGATAGTGCTACCCTCCACTGCTGTTCCATTGAAGATATAGAATGACTGGTTTCTAAAGGTGCTTTAATTGATAAAGGAAGATACAGTGTTCACAGGTCAAATCACTCTCGTTGCTAACACAAGTATGGGTTTGATGAATAGGAGTGTCATCTTTCACAAAAACTTAATCTGAAGACGCGTGAATCAAGAAAAAGGGTCCTATAACATCTCCCTATACAAGAAGTTGCACAGACGTTGGAAAGGAAAGCATTGCTGAATATAATACCTAGTTGTAACTCTGGGTAAATTGCAGATGACTTTATCAAATCTAGGATTTATGTTAAGATGAAGCTTGTGATCCATTAACTAATGCGCAAAAGATGGGTTAATACATTTGGTTTTTGCTTTGTATCTCTCCTTTTATTTATTAACCTTTATATTGGTTGTTCTGGTCATGTTTCATGAAGGCCTTTTAGTTGACATTTTCAAAAACTATCCATGATAACCTCATTGAAGTGTTTGCTAACAGCAGGAGAGCACATTACATGATAGCAAAAAGTGATCAACTAGGGTTAATTTGTATACTGTAAAGATAAGAGAAGACAATCAAACAACTGATTCGAAAGTCAGATAATGCATGACTCATGGAAGTTAATATTCATGCAAGAAACCAAACCTTAATATGTCTCGCTGAGACTGAACATAAATGGGAAAGAGCACAATTCTTCAAAATAGCTTTAGACGTTCGATTCAAATATAGTATGAAAGCCTTCAATTTTTCGCGTATATTTTAAGAGGCATCTTAGTCCGAAATAAAAGGAGAATTTCTAAACACGATTCTATATCTACATACATTAATGACTTCATAATTATCTTGCTAGGAACAGCTTAACAAGATTTATCATTAGATGAAAGCACTGGCAGATCAAAAGGGGTTGGAGGAGGCAATCCCCATACGGCTATACCCCTTCTCCTTCCCCCGAAAATCCAAGCACACAAATTGGGTCCATCACCAGTAGAACAGGATAAAAGTTATTGCCAGCAATCTCTCTGAATGAGAACCATTGACTGAGGAATCCCTAACTGCTAATCAGTGGTATAGTTGAAGGCACTCAGATTATATTGTTACTTTAGTTGAAGAGAATCATGTCACAGTTGTAACGTCAAAAAGTAAAACAAGAAGAAACAAAAATGAGAAACTCTTATCAATTCAGACATATGATTAAAAGGATGCAAATAAAATAAGAAGAATAAGCACTTCCAAGGAAAAGCGGAAAAGAGGAAACATGCGAAACATCATGAAAGAAAATATGAGTTGGCGCGTGAAAATCATTAACACTTCTCACATGAGTTCTATAAGGATATTTCCAAAAGAAAAACGATATATTTATCCTCAACATTCAAAAACATATTTTTGACTTCCTGTTTGAACTATAACTTAATTTTAGTCTCAAAAAAAAAAAATGAAGTGAATCATTGTTTGTTAAACTAGAGTAAGTGCTTGTTTCAGCTCTCTCACTTTCTAAAACATAGTTAGCATTTAATTTGAAGTTCTTATATTTCCTTCAACACCATTTTCCACCACATCTTGACGCATGTTAAATATAACAACTCAAATATACACATAACACATAAACTAAAGAAATACAAGCACTTCAGAATTATCAATAACTTTGATACATCTTTGATACATGATAGTAAAGCCAACAAAAATAGGTGGCATACCAAGCTTTGGGGAGCTTATCGAAAACGCTATCCAAAGACACAGCCATGAGCATCGGGCGATGTAACTTTATTAATTCGCCACTCGAGTGCATATTTGGATCATTGCCAGAGGATGCCTGCTTATACCCTACAAAGAGATATAATCCATATCCAACCATGGCCAGACCCACAAGGGCTAACAGGAAGTTCATCAGCTTCAAGAGGCACCCCAAATACCCCTTACATGCCATTTTCTGGTTCTAACTATTATATGTCACCTTTTATAAAGCTGGTAATTGAATTGTCCCTTCTAGTGGATAAACTTAACTCCCCTGTTTCATACACCATAAATCCACAAATAAATTCCTCGTGAATAAAAATAATTAGTTTTAAAAAAAAGCGCAACAGACTTTATCTTAAAAGGGTCTTCTTTTAATTCAATATATATTTGAGAAATTGTTATCTACATGTATCGATCTATTTTTTCAAAGAAAAAAAATTTAAGACTTTTATCCAAGAATCTTTGCCAGCAGATATTTTCTGTCAGAAAGAAAAACAGGGAAAACCCATAAACAGGGCAACAGCATAACAAGAAGAATTAAGGGAAAAATTATCGGTGAGCGATGAAATACAGCATACTGCAGAAGAATACTGTTAAAAAAAAAAGGCCCGACAAGGAAAATTCAGCTTGGAGTCAAGAACTGATTTGTAGTGCAGTAAATATTCGAAAACAAATAGGAAAAGCTTACAAGCGCGAGGCTATGATTTCGAGTAACTGTAGATCAAAACCTTTTGGATTTCAGTAGATACCTAAAAACAGAGATAGAATGGTGGTGTGGGGGGTTCTCGAAGGAGCAGTTTTGCCTTGTCGACGAAATACGTGGAAACGCGCTATTGAACCCCCCCGCCCGGGCCGCCCCCCTCCCTTATTTTCACTTTCACCTTGGAGTCCAGTAAATAGAATTAAAAAAATTTAAAATATTAAAATATAACTTAACACAACAAAAAGTCAAAAATACCTCCACTCTCCAAAAGCAAAACTCTTACAGTCGAAACCGACCCAAATCGACCACCAAGCACACACAGTCGACAGTCCCAAAAAAGTCGACGAAATCGACGACGAAGTCACAGGTGTCGACAACCACAAAGACAACCCCATTATCAGCGAAAAAGAATGTTAATTTTTGTGATTAAAATCGGGTATTTCATATAAGGAATTCGAATGATTTTCACATTTTTGTAGTTTATTTGTTCATATATAGGTAGATCTACTTGAGTATTAGTGATTGTGAAGAAAATTTTGGTGTTTTTAGCTATAATAGCTGTGTTATTCGAGCTATCCATCGTCGAAAATGACGATTTTCAGGGATGGAAAGCCTGCAGATCGTTGGTTATTAAACAGTCGGCTCACTAAGTGTGGGCCGACCACGTGATTTTTTTAAATTTTATTAATAATTTAATATTTTGAATAGTAAAAATATTTTTATTCTGTATTTAATTTTTAAATATCGTTTTGTCTAATTCATTTTTTGCTTTTATAATTATTTATTCAATTTAAATAATTTTGTGTTCTTTATTTAATTAAATAATACTTTTATTTCTTTTTTATTTTAATAATTTCCTATTGTTTTAATTTTTATATATTTAATTAAATAAATAATTTTAAATTGATAAATACCAAAATGAAATATTATTTTTTAACAAATTAGCAAATTCTTATTTTTTTTTCTTTTTTNCTTATTTTTTTTTCCTTTTAATATTTTAATTAATTTAAAATTATTTAATTAAATATTCTTTGTAAACTAATCTTTATTTTTTTCAAATGTAATTAAATAAATTTATATTGTTTACTTAACTTTAATATTTTCCTTTTGTTTTAATTTTTATATATAAAATTAAATAAATAATTTTAAATTGATAATTACTAAAATGAAATATTATTTTTTTTAATAAATTAGCATATCCTTATTTTTTCCTTTTAATTTTTTACTAATTTAAAGTTATTTAATTAAATATTCATTGTAAACCAATCTTTTATTTTTTTTCAAATTTAATTAAATAATAATTATATTCTTTACGTAATTTTAATATTTTCCTTACCAAAATTAAATATTCCATTTTAACATATTCGCAAATTCTTTTTTTTTCCTTTTAATTTTTAATTTAAAATTCTTATTTTTTCAAATTTAATTAAATATACATATATATATATAAATGAAGAAATTTAAATTGTTAATTACCAAAATGAAATATCATTTTTAACGAAATTAGCAAATTCTTTTTTTTCCTTTTATTTTTTAATTTAAAATTCTTTCTTCCATGTAGTTGTTACAATTCGGTTTACTTAATTTTCTGAGATTATGCTGTATTCGATTATCTTATGTTCGATGTGCTAATATTTATTTTTTTGTAGCATGGAGTATCACTTGGACGTGACTTTGAGACAAATGTCGGGCAAGGCTACCGGAAACAGTAGCCTTGGTAGTTACACTGCCGTATTGGAGCTGCTGGATGAGCAGCATGCATATATGCTACGTCGATCATTTCTTTGACTCTTGTACGAGTTGAGAGCTGTGCAGTTCTCAAGGCGGATCATTGATGCCCTACTGTGTCGGTTGCTGAGTCTAATCGACGGCGATGCCCTCCACTTCGACCTCGAGGGCAAAGTCGCCATTTCTCTATGTTCGAGTTTGCCTTGATCACTGGACTAAAGATTAAGGGCGATGATGCAGTTCGTGCCGGTACTTAGAGTGGCAACAGGCTACACGACGCTTACTTCCAGGGACAAGGAACGGTGCTTCTGCCGCAGATGATGGACGCGATCAGGGATGTGACCATATGTTAGACAGACTGAAACTCAGCCTGGTCTACATCCTTGAGAGCATGTTGCGATGTCACCACAGGAAGACTACGATCGACCTCTTCCATCTGGAGATCATCGACGATCTTAATGTCTTCAATACCTATCCGTGGAGCCGGATATGTTTCGAGGACACGGTGCACGTTTTCATCATAGCACACTCGAGGGCGAAGGGGACCATGCGTAAGTACAATACATATGGATTGTCCCTGACAGTGCAGGTAAATGTTTGACATAATTAAAGTTAAAATATTGTTTATAATAAATATGAATATAATAATTGTATGAGTTGCATATCTGAGCGTATGAGACCGTCTCCCTCCAGGTACTCGATTTGTGAGGCAAGTGCAGACACGCTGTCCTCGGATGCATTATTGGCCTGCATCCTGAGCAGAGGGATGTCCAACTGGCAAACAACTATCAGCTCTCCTCGACGACCCTCGGGTAAGTTAATACATTTGCAATTTATGTTGTGTATAGCTCCAAAATCTGATCACATGATTGTTAACTAGTCACGTATGGATATGTTGGCTTGAAGTCATAACTGAGTTGATGTCGTCAATGGAGGAGGAGGCTCGTGGTTTTGTGGGTGAGTTAGCCGATCCGCACAATGAGGACGATCGGGTGTCCGATTCCATCATGGACCAAGATGAGATATGTGAATTGAATATAATTTGTTGATTACAATTTTTGTATGCGTTAGCCAATTTTCATTAAAAAATAATTTTTAATGTTCCCATTCGTGTAGGAGAGTGGTCCAGTTGATCGACGATCACCTCCGTCGAAGGCATCATCTTAGCCGAGGGCATCACTGCCGCCAAGTGGATCACATCCACCGATCAGGTCTCCTTCTCCCCCGTCCACTCACCTACCCCGTGGATCTTCGCACACAGTCGAGGCAGTATTTCGCTTATCTGTATGACCGTCTAACCGAATTTATAGCGGGGGAGGTGGGGAGACTGTAACAAGAGTCGATAGAAAGGGTCGACGATCTGTACGACTGCCTGAAGGAGCAGATGGGCGAGATGCGTGGAGAGTTTATAGGAAGGGTTGACGATTTATCCAATGATGTTGGAGTTCTACGTTGCCACTTGCTAGACCTTTAGGATAAGGTCGCAGGCTTACAGCCCTCCGAGGCGATATAGGGGCAGGGGACGGTGTGATGGAGAGGGTGAAGTAGAGAGGGGTCACGGACAGTTCTGGGTGGATAATGGTGATTTGGAATCATTTTTGTTATCTGTGGAACGGGGGGGTGGCCAGAGAGGATAAAAATGAGGCGGTGGCCCCAACGGGGACGAGAGGGGTGGATGGGGAGGACACGACGGAGGCAGTGACCCCAATGGGGATGGGAGCGATGGTTGGGGAGGACATGACGAAGGCGGTGGCCCCGATGGAAGTGGCAGAGGAGTTGGGGAGCCACGAGGGGGTGACGGTTCCCGGCTTGGAAGAGATGACCCAGGGGGTGACGCCAATGGCGGTGGAGGTGGGGAACCCCGAGGAGACGGCAGTCCCCGGGGTGGAGGACGAGAGTAGGCCCGACGTGGCTGAGGGGAAAAAGCGTGACGTGGATGGAGCAAGTGGCCAGCAAGAGGGTCAGGTTACCATCACAATATGTTGTTTCTCCCTTCTCGACCGATGCGAAGAGGAGGACGTTCGTTGAGGGGACGTACCCAATCTCTTTCGGGAGCTGGACCCCGCGAAATAGAAAGTGTTTGAGAAGGCATGGAGATCAATGAATCTCGGGTACGTCTTGTATTTTTTTATTACCGCACACTACTATGCGTCGTTTGACATTATTTCTGTATTGTTTTCACAGCCAGCCGCACATTATCTTCAAGGATGATTCCGGATGCGTACAAATGGTTCCACAACGTCATCTGGCCGAGATCCTGGCTTGCCGACAATGTAAGTAAATTAATCTTATTGTTATTTATTTTGTATACTTTTTTTTTTATGAAATGTAATAACTTCGAGTGTACGCCCGATGCGGCTATTAACAGCCGCACTGCCGACTGTTAACAGCCGACTGTTTTTTCGTAACTGCCAATTGTTACGAGAGTACGCCTAACGCGGCTGTTAGCCGGCACGCTAACAGTCAGCTGTTTTTTCTTTGCAGCCGACTTTTAAGGCCGCAACAGCTGACGGTTAATCGGAAAGTAACATGCAGATGAATTTTTTTCGTTTGTGCTTAAAAAAATTATACATCTACTAAAAAAATTTATCTACCTGTAATAACTATGTCAAATCTTAATTTATTGATTAAAAACGTATACACATTTAACGAAAACGAAATTAAACATATGTAAATATACTTATCGATTCAAAGTAATTGACAGAAAACAAATTTTTTCTTTAATTATCGATATTTTTGAGATTTTCATATTGATGAAG